TCCTTTATTATACATCAGTTTTCCATTTTTGCAATGACAATGTACTGTCTGTATCAAGTCTCTTTTAAGTATAGATAGTATTATACATCCTGATTGTAACCATTGTTCTCATAATTGGCCAAGTGATTTTTGAGTTTGCTTTCTGTGAGAGGATTTGATTCAGAAAGCAAAGTTTCTCTAAGTTTAAAACAGCTTCCTACAAGTTAGTTTCTGTAAGCTTTATTACAGGAGGGAGGGGGGAGAATTCATATTTGGCAAGTAGGAAAGGACATTTTAATACTTTTAAACTGAAAATCCAGGTGAAGAAGATGCAGCTGCTACTACAATTTTAATTTTTGTTCTACACTGACTCTAAAGCCTATTGTAAGCTTGCTGGTGCAAATGCAATGACAGTTACTGCAGCTGCTTTGCTTCCATTTGGTTTTTCAGTGCTGGAGTTGAAATTGTGAAAAAAAAAATATGTAAATGTATCAATGTTGATCTATCCAAATTCAGATTATTTTAGTTCGTAAATGTAAGAACATGAAAAATATATTAAAATACTTATTTTAACATAACAAAAGAGTAGCGTGGATGTTTCTTTTTTACTTTTGCAAATGTGCAGATGATGCTTAATTAATAATTTATGAATACTTCCCTTATTATTATGAAAATGAATATATTAATGCTAACATATCCAGAATATTTTGGCTAGAATTGGACATTGACAATTTCCACTGCAAAATGAGTAATATTTATACTTATACTTAAAGATTAAATTGGGAACATTGGCTCCTACTTCTAACTGTGAAGAAATAAATATAATACTTATAACAGCAATACTAGTTAAAATACTTTCCCCATTAGGAAATGATAACTGCTAAGCATTACATACCTTAAAATTGTTGTTTAATAAGAAAATTGATGCATTAAACGTTTAAACTTCTTTAAGTTGAAAATTAACACAAGTGAAATCCATATTTTGCATAATATCATAAAACTGAATATTGATTTAATATGGTTGGAGCAGAGTGGTGTGAGTTTCTTCTTACTGAGTTACTTGATTGTGCAATTATTTTACATTTTTATTTTGAGATGATAAAATGTTTGCCTGCTGATGTATGGTAATCACAGTTAATCAAAATTCTGTCCTTCCATATCAATTTAATTAATTTTTCATTAGCAATTTGTCATATGATTGTTGTGTTCATTATTTAAAGCCATATCCTTCTGAATTTCTGTATGAAGAAAGATCAGCAGGATTCAAAGCATTGCCAGAACGTTCAGTGTGGAAATGTTAATAAAACATTTATTTAGGATATAACTGATCACATTGTTTACCATGTTGGCATTAATCCATTAGTTGGCCCTAAGTGTATCTTTTTGCAAAATTGCAACTTTTACTACAGTGCGCATGCCAACATCAATACACATGTATGTACATATAAGAATCAATGATGTAAATAAAGTATTTTCCCAAAGAAAGGCTACATTGAATTTAAGACAGCCATTGTGTCAAAGAAGAGCAGATAAAAATAAATTAGAAATTTTAGTATGTATGTATGTATAACATTTATTGGCCATCCATTTTACCACAGGGTAACTCTGAGAGGCTTAAAGTCATAAAAAATGTATATACATATACATTAAAAACACAAATAAATTAAAACCAAGCATTTAAATCTAATGACACGTGGAGAGTGCAGGGCAGAGTGGAGGGAGGTGAGATTTGTTGTTATTGAATCAACCAACTTCATTGCACTGTTCCCCATTGGAATCCTAAGCCAACTGCCAGAGCCAAGTCTTTAACGAAAGGATAGGAGGGTTGGGGCCAACCTCACATTAGGGGCAAAAAAGCCCCTCCCCCTAGCCAGCCAGAATAATTGGGTTGATCGGATCCACAGCATGCCTCCTCTACAGGCATGAATGAAACAGGCGAATTCCAGTAGGCGAAATGGTCCCTCAAGGATAGGGTGGATAAAAATCAATCTTTAAAAAAAAAAAAAAAATCAGATTTTTAAAATTTTTATCAAATTTATTTTAATAAAATGCTTTTGGAGTAAAAATCTATCTAAAGATAGTTGTCAGCTTTGGAAGCCATATTAGGCCGGAAGCTTCCAGACTGCCACCTTCTCACGTGTGGGAAAGTAGGAAGGGGGATTTAGTAGAGGGGTTGCCTTTAGACATAATAGCATTCTTCCTGTCGGTCAAGGTCAGGGTGATCCTGCATCTGGAGAAGGAGTGGTCGGAGTGATGTCTCGAGATGGGACGGCGGTTGATTGGAGCATGTGATCGACTGAGGAGTGAGGGGATGGTTTGGGGGGTTTTGACTTACTGAGGGAAAACCCGGATCTCTCAGATTTGGATTTTCCTAGATATGCCAGTTTACCTATTCTAGTAAATAGAACTTTGAAAAATGCTTGCTTCAGAGTCTTTCCTTGGAGTTGGGTATTTTTCTGGAACGCTGACAATAATTTTCTATTTAAGATACATTAATAATTTATTCAGCATGAAATGGAGCTTAGTTATGTAGCACGAGGCTGTATATTCTGAAATATTTACATTTTTGATAAACTCATTCAATGAATCCAAGCTCTGCAAGCTAAATGGGAAACCTTCATTTTGTTTGCAAATAATAATATTAAAGATTCTAACTACCAGCAAGAATGTGTCCTTACATTTAAAGAGCACCTGTCATTTCAGATACATCAAGGTAGTCCTTGTTAGTGGGCATCCACTCACCTGCTGCCAGCCGGGTCTCTTCCTTTGTTGTATCATTGCCACATCACCAGCCGTCCCATTAAAGTGAATGGGACTGTCAGTGAGTCAACAGCGGGCCAGAGGAGGAGCCGCTGTGGGACAGAGATGACAGTTGCTCTTTAAAAATTATGATTTAAATCCAATTGATTTAAATCAAGCCTTTTTACTAGTGATTTAAATCGTGATTTAAATTGACTTGATTTAAATCAAATCCATCCTGCTCAAGGAGGCTGGATCCATGCCATAAAGGACACTTTAAAGGTGAATACCAACACCTTGAATTGTACCAGGAAGCAGACTGGCAACCAATGCAGCTTGCAGAGCAGTGATGTCACAGGGGCCATTCTTGAGGCCCCAAACTACCTGTGTAGCCAGACTCTGCACTATCCGTAGCTTCTGAAGCATCTTCAAAAATAGAGGTGACTAGGGACTGAACGAGTGATCACAGGGAATCCTGATCCTGGAAAGGTCACAACTGGCACACAACACAAAGTTGTGCAAATGCTCGCCTAGCTGCAACTGCCACTTCTCGAGCAGGAATCATGAGTCCAGGAAACCCCCATGTTATGAACTGTATTTGTCTGGGGCAGTGCCATCCCATTCAGAGTCGAAGACAAAATCCTGGATCCCGGAGCCTCGTGTACCCTAAGCCATTCGGTTTTGCCTGGGTCCAGTCGAAGCCTGTTGTCCCCCATTCAGGCCCCCACAGACTCCAGGCCACAGAAAGAGGGAGGCCACAGCATCACTTGACTCACCAAGAATGGAAATATATAGTCAGGTGTCCTCAACATACTGTATATACTTACTTATATACTGTGTATAACTCAACTTTGGTGATGGATGATCTCGCCCAGTGGTTTCATATAGATGTTGAAAGGGAGTTGGAAGAGTACCAAGTCCTGTGCCACACCACAAAATAGCTGTTGAGGTTTGGACCTCTCACTCCCTATCAACATCGATTGGGACCAGATATGGAGAAAGGAGACAAACCAGTGCAAAACTGTAGTGCCCAGCTCCAGCCTCAGCCTCAGTTCCCCAAAGGATACCATGGTCGATGGTATTGAAAGCCACTGAGAGGTCAAGGAGAATGAGGATGATTGCACTACTTCATCCTGCTCTTATTTTATTGACAAGCACCACCAATGCTGTTTCTGTCCACTAACTGGGCCTGAATTCTGACTGAAAGGCATCCAGATAATCAGTTTCATCCATTTTCTGCAGCAGTGAGGCCACCACCTTTTACACAGGCTTCCCTAAGAACAGAAGGTTGGAAACTAGATGAAAATTATCCAGACAGGAGGCATCTAGTGGTGGTCTTTTTACGGTCAAGGCAAACCAGGGCTTCCTTAAAAGCATCTGGATATGTTCCCTCCTCCAGTGACATATTAATCACTGGTGGACCCACCCATTTAATCACTATCTTGGGGGATTTCACTATCCAGGAGGGATACTATCCAGTTGTGGCACTGACAACGTTAAGCGCCCTGTCCACTTAATCAGGGCCAATATGATCAAACTATTCCCAGGTAACAGGGCAAGACCTCTTCCTGGCATCTCACATGGATTATTTCCACTCATGGGATCCAACTGGGAGAGGATCCGAGAAATTTTGTCCATCAGATGCTAAACAAGATCTTCTGTCCAGCCCTGCAAAAGATCACCCAAGCCTCCTGACCCAGAAATGTAAACCAAAATGCTATATATTGCCCAACGTCTGCACTTTGTTAACTTAAGCATGCAGTTCCTGTTGGAGTTTCTTTGCCACACTTAAAAAAATTGTTAACACCAATATTATATACGGTCAATAATTGCTAATTAAAATAATTGCCTGAAATATGTGGTATTTTATAATTTGAAACCTGTAAATTAATCATTAACTAAACATAACAAAAGTCAGGATGAGTATGGCAAAGGGGAATGGTAGCAGCATTGGGAAGTGAAATGAAGGGAAACTGAGGAATAAGGAGAAAAATAATTGAATAAGGAAAGAGAGAAGATAGATAGATAGATAGATAGATAGATAGATAGATAGATAGATAGATAGATAGGGTATCATTCAGGAGGGACCACAGTTCTAGTCAGCTGAATTTAAGATCACCCAATTCACTGTTAGCTGTTAATTGTTTATTGCGGGGAAAGGCCTGGTCTTTTTAGCAGATCAGTGATACATCATTGCCCTTGGGGAATGTTACTTATACTTCCTGTATGTCTGTGGAAAAGGTGTGTTTTTTTAAAAAAATATTCTCTACAATTGTTTTTAGCTTTAGACCCAGCTAAAGATCCATGCTTAAAGATGAAATGTACTCGTCATAAGGTATGCATTGCACAAGATCAACAAACAGCTGTTTGCATTAGCCACCGGAGACTGACACACAGGTAAATATCTCCATGTTATTGATCTGTAATCATGACTATTAATATATATTTGTATTCGCTGCTGCATTTTTGCATCATCTGAGACCGAAGTAAACAAACTGTGAGAATACCGTATTTTTCGGAGTATAAAACACACCTTTTTCCCCCCAAAAAAGAGGGTGAAGATCTGGGTGCGTCTTATACTCCAAATGTAGCCCCACCCAGTTTCTCAAACGGAGGTTTCAGAGGCTAAAAAAAGCATCAGAAACGAAGCTTCCGAAAAGAAGTCCCTAAACAGAGCTTCAGAGGCTTTTTTCCTGAAGCTGTTTCGGAGGCTTTCAGAAGCAAGAAAAGAAAGAAACGGAGTTTCAGAAGTTTCAGAGGCAGGAAAAAAAAAGCAAAAAAAAAAAAAAAAAAAGCAAGGCACAGAGCTCACAACCAAGGAACCTGTTGCTAAAATTCAGCTCTGGGAACAGCTGATTGGGGGTATTCTGGGGGTCGATCCACCTGCCAATCAGCTTTTTTCTTATTTTCCTCCCCAAAAACTAAGCTGCATCTTGTACTCCGGTGCATTTTATACTCCGAAAAACATGGTATATGCACATTGTGAACATTCTGTGCATGAAAAAGGTCCTTTTTAGACTCAATGAGTAGGTAACTTATCCTCAACAGAGCCTTCATGGAGGGTTGAAATTAGTATTATACAACTTTTGCTTATTTTCAATAAGGTTCCTGTGGGAATAGTTTTCGACATACTATATTATTGTGAGGGCATTTTTAATTGTATTCCAGCTAGTATCAAAAAAATTAAACATTGACCAAAAAAAAAAAAAAACAACCCCATTTGGGAATTTCTACAAAGTATTTTATACGCTAAAATTCACTGGAAAATTAATATTTCTTTCAGAAGGATGAAATGCTGAAAGCAAAATACATTATCCATTATCTTACTGTAATAGTATGTGGGGATGTTATTTGGAGGCAGGGTAGAGACCCATCCAAGAAACTGGTCACATAAAAGGCAGCCGAGTCCTCAGCAGGAATGTGGGCAAGGCAAGAGGTTTAGAAATGACCCCCCCTTATTTGGGGAATTTAAAGGGGACATGGAAAGGGAAATAGATTACAGATTAACAGAAGGGACCTTGCAGGTCATCTAGTCCAACCCCCTGCCCAAGCAGGAGACCCTACACCTGCCTCTACCTAGGATCGAACTCATAACCTGATTAGGAGGCAAGAGCGCCATCTCTAGGCCACAGCAGCTTCACGACTTCCAGAGTACTTCCGGAGTTCCAAGTACTTCCAGACTTGCAAGATTCTGTTACAATAAAAGAAGAATTAGCCCATCTGGTTGTGTTTCATGATTGGTCTACCTAATCAGGCTGACAATTACATGCAGGTAGTCCTCAGCTTACAACAGTTTGTTAGTGACAGTTCAAAGTTACAGCAGCACTGAAAAGAGTGACTTACGACCATGTTTCACATTTACAATACTTCCAGTGTTCCCCTGGCCATCTACCTCCTAGCTATATGGTATAGAGACATGTGACTAGAGGTTTCAAACTTTCCTTCATCTGTTGGGATATAAATCAACCATGTGAGAGATAATCAAGATTACACTTTAATAAAAAACATATTAAAGTGTCTTTCTTTTATATTTAATAGTGAAATAGATAAATTTAGAATTATTTATTTATTATTTAGAATTGTTATTCTAAATTATTATTTAGAATTGAGGAAGAAGAGCAAATTGAAAAAAAAAAGGAATAAAATGGAACAGATAATGCGATGAAGTAGACCACAAGGCCAACGGTCCATTACAAAACTTTCTGCAAAGTTTTGGGGTAGTGTGTATCAAATTGATATAAAATTCTTTTAAAAATCTAAACAAAAATACATTCATGCTTCAATTAAGAATGTCAATATTTAATTTCATAAGGTTAACAAAAGTTTCACACAGAAAAACCTCCCACCAGGGTTCCTTGCTAAAACGCATGGAATAAGTGCCTTCCAAGTGTTTCCAGCATCACCAGGAATAACCAAGGAAATCAGGCACAAAGATGTACCTTGAAGAGAAATCTGATGTACCCAGATAAAATCTAATGTACCAAGATAAAACTCTTTTAGAGTTTTATCAGAAGGAGCAACTATGAAGAACATGGAACTATAAAACGGTTGAGCTCCTGGATGAGAGAAAATAAATACCAAAACCTTTATAAACTCTTCAGTGATGTAAACATTTACCTGTATATTCTGCAGGTAATTGTTTCTTGAAATCAAATTAGTCTAGATCAGGGGTGGGTTCTACTTATCTTTACTAATGGTTCGCAACGGGACCTCATGCACGCACTCGCTTCACTCTCTCGCACGCACACTCTTCTACACAAGTGCAGAAGCATTTTCATCACGTCAGTATCAGTGGGCGGGGCCTCCCACTGGTTTTACTACCCGTTCTATAGAACCGGTGTGAACCGGGGGCAACCCACCACTGGTCCAGATGTATTTTCCCAGTGCTTATGCTTGTAAAAGACTGAACCATTTCAGTGAGTAACAAGGAAATTAGTGAAAACTTAATGCAGGGGTGGGCTGCTGGGGGTTCGCAGGGGTTTGGGAGAACCTCTAGCTAAGATTCTGTGCAGTTTGGAGAACCCCCAAATCCCACTCCTGGCTGGCCCCACCCACCCCGCCCCTCACAGGAGTCCCCATGCGCCCCGTTTTGAATGCAGGTAAGTGCAGGTCATGCATGGAGACTCGGGGAGGGTGAAAAATGGGCCTACCGGAAGTTTGGGAAGGCCAGAAACGGGCCCATTTCCAGCCTTCAGAGGGCCTGGGGAGGCTGTTTTCGCCCTCCGGGAGGCTCAAGAAAAGCCTCCGGAGCCCAGGGAGGGCTAAAATGCCCCCCCCCCATGGTGCAGGAGGCTGACTAGGCCACGTCCACACAGCAACCGGGCAGAGAACCCCTTGCTAAAATTTTTGAAGCCCACCCCTGAATTAACGTAATGCTATTGTAACCTTTGGGGGGATTTTATACATTTTATAATTCTCTACAGTGAATTAGAATTCAAATCTTAAAATTAATGATGTTCTATGATACTAGATGCAATATGGATACATTTCAGTAACAACTATGGCATCCTTGGTATAATCTCTGAGTTTGTTTGGAGACATTTTCACTATCCTTCTAGGTCACATCACCAGTGCCAGTGACTGTGGAGGTTGCTTCCAGTTTATATAAGTTAAACTGTTTATAAACAGTTAAAAAAGAACTATTCATTTTATACAGTGTAATAGTCTGATTGAGAGGGAGAAAATTCAAAACTTGAGTATCTGCTTTCATGCAAGAAATATCCATAGAAGATAGGGAGCTTGAAACTGAAAATTCTCTATTAAAAAATCACTATTTTAGACAGAATCACAAATCATTCAGTCCAAGTAAATTTGTAAGAATCACAATGTTCCTATATTATATATGTGTGTGTGTAATTGATGTATATACAGTATGAGTATGTATTTTATAGGGTTTTACTTACTGTTCACAGATTACTATGAAACAGAAAGATATTTCTTTGCTGATCAGCATGATCTAGTTCTAAATGATTGGTTATGAAATGTGAAATTTAGGGCAGCAATTAGATGCTAGCATTTTATACAAGTAAAATTTCAGTGTGGAAGTACGAAAGACAATATACAGTATTTCATGCATGTCGGTACTTTTACAGTCATTTAAGCATTTAGATAGATTGTATAATCTTTGCTTTCCGTTTAATAGATTTTGATCCTGTAATGCGGCTGCTATCTTAAAAAACAAGATGAGCCACCCTTTTCAAGTTAAAGGAACACATTTTATTGCCAAGCTTATGCTATCATTGGCGGCTGATAAGCACAAGTCTCAAAATAGATAGCTTTAATTGAGTGCACCTGCATTGATGAAGAAGGTATATCGGCTTTTAGAAAAGATTTTTTCCTTCACAGAAATTGTAGCTTGTGTTGATGAATTTCAGATTTAACAAGATTAAATTTAGGATAATGAGGAATCGTATTTCTTAATGGACATCTGGGTCTTGATTTATTTAATACCCCTCAAATCCCCTTCCTTCCAGAGAAATGGATGGAAGTCAGAATAGCTTTTCTGTATGCAAAATGTAAATCCGGAATGGTGATATAACTGACTTAACTAGTATTTTATAAAGTATTGCTTATTGTAACTATTTATTTATTTATTTATTTAAATTTGTGTGCCACCCATCTCTCAACTCTAGGCAGCTTGGTTTACAGTACAATACAATACAATATAAAACATATGAGGAAATAGTACAGAAAAAGAGAATGGTTCCAATTTTCTTGGGTTTGCTTCAGTGGTGAAATTCAAAAGTTTTCCCTACTGGTTCTGTGGGTGTGGCTTGGTGGGCGTGGCTTGGTGGAGGGTCATGTGACTGGGTGGGCGTGGCCATTTTTTTTTTTTTTACTTTTTAAAGCATTTTTTTTTAACTAAAAATTTTTAAATAGTTCCGACGGTCAGTTCTGACAATCAGCTGTGCCCGCAATCATTGGAACCTTTTTTTTTTACTACCGGTTTGGGCGAATAGGTAGTAAAGAAATGCTTTAAAAAAGTAAAAAAAAAAAAAAGGTTCCGACGATCATGTGGCACAGCTGATTGTCACAGATGATCGTTGGAACCTTTTAAAAACTTTTTAAAGCATTTTTTACTACCTATTTGCCCAAACCAGTAGTAAAAAACACAGCAATTAGTGATTGGACTAACTCAACAGAAGAGAGAATATTGAATATAGAGGGATATGGTTTGGTATATGGCTGGCATGCATATTTATTATATGATAAAAAGGTGGATAAGAATTTTAAAAGTCATATATTAAGGAATGCGTTATTATGTATCTGGAAAAAGTATCAATATAAACTAAACAATAAAATACCTATATGGGCAATACCCAGACATGCGATAGAGAATATAAGTGAAGAACAAAAACAAGATTTTGTTTTTACAAAATCAACTTACAAAGAGCTGC